CACTCTCCCGAGCCCTTATCTTCCTTTCTTAGAAAAATTTTCACAGAGGAGGCCTCAAATTATCTAGTTAACGATCCAAATGTTATTCCAGAAAGTTTTTGTTCATGTATTTGTACATATTTCATGTATAGGCACTCATTAAATATCTAAAAAATATCTTGGTTATAGTGATGGTGAAATGTATTAACTTCTAAATTTCAGAAAAATTGGAGAAAATGAGGGATCATGAACGAAAGGAAGAAACGTTTACCCCAATGCCTAGCCCTTACTACATGGAACTTACCAAACTTTTATTAAATCAGTAAGTAGATCTCACTTCTTAGAGTCCATACCTAGACTGGACTCATGATTCTCTTCTTCTAACCCTCCCTTCTTCCTTTCTTGTTCCCAGCTCACTACCGCGGTAAGTAATGGCCCTAGTCACCCAGTTACTCAGATCAGTAATCTGGAGGTCGTCCCATGTGCACCTGCCAGGTTTTCTCCATGTCTGTGTGTCTCTGTGTCAGTGTGTGTATGTGTGTGTGTGTGTGTGTATGTGTGTCTTTCATTTTTCTATTTCTCCACTCCCCAATAAATCCCTTGGTTCTTCCCGTTTTACATCTTCTCACTTAACATGGGACCCCAGTGTGAGACACCATCTCCAGCAACAGCCCTTTTCTTAATTATATGTAGTCATGCATCACTTAATAACAGGAATAAATTCTGAGAAATTCATCGTTAGGCAATTTTGTCATTGTGCGAGCATCATAGGGTACTTACACAACCCTGGATAGCATAGCCTACTACACACCTCCAGCTACGTTGTAATCTAATGGGACCAACGTCATACATGTTGTCTGTCATTGACTGAAACCTTGCTATGCGGTGCATGACTGTGTGTGTTTTACTTAGTATAGTTTTACCCTTTTTTCTCCTTAGTGTATATGGATTAGAGTTCTGGTGTGTCTTTCACAGGAAAGGCCAGAGGGCTCATCCTTGAGCTATAGGGAAAGTCTGCTTGTGGCAAAAATATGCTGTTGTGGGCCGGCCCGGTGGCGCACTGGAGAGTGCGCCGCTTGGGAGTGTGGCGGCGCTCCCGCCAAGGGTTCGGATCCCATGTGGAGACCCGTTCTGCTCACTGGTTGAGCGTGGTGCGGGCGCAACACCGAGGGTTGCGATCCCGTTACCGGTCAGTAAAAAGGACAAAAAGGAAAAAAAAAAAATGCTGTTGTAACTCTTTGTTTGCCTGCATCTTTACCAGCTCTCCATACCAGCTTCTAATTCATTCTTGGTGCTGCAGCCAGAGTGGTCTTTAAAAGGCAAAGCTGCCATGTGATTCTCCTGCTTAAAATCCTCAGCTTTTACAGGATTTTAGCCTAAAGTCCTGATCATGCTGTTCAAAGCACTGCAAGCCTGGTGTGTGTTCCTTCTTCCCTCTTCTACAACTCTACAATTCTCTCTGATTCTGTAGGTTTCAGGCTCACATTGGCCTCTCGTTCACTTCTTCAAACCTACCGGTGTCCTCATGGCTTTGCACATACTCTTCCACTGCCCAGTAAGTTCATCCACTCCCTGTTCCCGCTCACTGCTTTGGTTTAGCATATCAAGTATCCCTCCCAGATTAAGCATACACATTCTCTTGGCGGTTCTGTGTACCACCATGGCATTTGCCATAGTTGTAATTTTCTAATCATTTGGCTGTGCCATTAGGCCTCCCTGCCGCCACACATACCCATACTAAATGGGCAGGGACCATCTTGTATGCATGGTGTCCCTAGTGTGGTGCTTGGTGCTTACGTTTGTCAAACGAATGAGTGAAACCAGCAGAGGGGGCAGACAAGTGTGGATAATTTTGCTTGGGAGATACTTACAATGTAATTTGCAGAATGTCAGGCTTTTGAAGGTCCCTAAGCATCTTTTAATTTGTGGGCCCAAGAGCTAAAACTTGGGAATGTGCTTCCACTGCCTGCTGCAGAGCAGTTGGAAGGGCTAGGGGCCTACTGAATTGGACTGCTGAATTTAAAGGAAAGTTTTGGCTACATAACGTGGACTTGTCTGTAGGTTGATATGAAGCTGCAGTTGATCCACTCATTTGATAAAACCTGAGAACCAACAATGCATTAAGCATTCACTAGATAATGGAGCTAGTCATGTAGGCCTGAGTTCCTGGTTTGGAGGGGGGACGTGTGAACCAGCAGTTCAACTGCAGTGTGATCCATGCTGTCGGGACTCTCTTGGGATGCAATAGGCCTGGTGGCACCAGAGAAGGGCTCACAGAGGAGGTTCTTTGGGGGTGCAGGCTTGAAGAAGGAGGGAAAATTCACAGTGAAGCAGGAGCTGGTCATGCTCAGGCACAGAATGTGAAGGGTCTTGGTGTGTTTTGGGGAAATGTAGAATGTATGCAGGAACAGGGGTGTGGGGGTGCTGGTTCTGTGGTGATGGAGGCCCCATGAGGGGCGAGTCATCAGAGGATCTGAGAGGCTGCTGTGGCAGTGGGGACCGTAGCTGGAAAGGGAGACAATCTGGAAACAGAGACTAGGTAAGAAGTTAAGTGTTACCCAGGTGAGGGGGCCTTTCATTTTGATTTTTGAAGTTCAGTATATTATGTATATAGTTTCTATCAAAAGCTTGTTTTGTAATTCACTAGGCTAAGGGACCAAATTTTACCTTGGTCCTGCAGTTCCGTTGACAAAGAGCTGGGGTCCTTTGTTTAACCTGCTGTCTGAGTGCCAAATCTAAATGTTTGGGTTTATAAATAAAATTTTCTACATAAGTTTTATACTACTGATTGTGCCACCTGCCAATCCTGATAATTGACAAAGAGCTGGGGTCCTTTGTTTAACCTGCTGTCTGAGTGCCAAATCTAAATGTTTGGGTTTATAAATAAAATTTTCTTTTTTTCTTTTTTTTTTTTTTTAAAAGATGACCGGTAAGGGGATCTTAACCCTTGGCTTGGTGTTGTCAGTACCACGCTCACCCAGTGAGCTAACCGGCCATCCCTATATGGGATCCGAACCCGGGGCCTTGGTGTTATCAGCACCGCACTCTACCGAGTGAGCCACCCACGGGCCGGCCCTATAAATAAAATTTTCTACATAAGTTTTATACTACTGATTGTGCCACCTGCCAATCCTGATAGGGAGTGGAGAGAGAATTTCTGGCTCACCCTAGAAGGCCTAGTGATGAGCAGTGTTTGCCTCTGCTTCTATCTTCTAGTTTGTCCTTTCCTACAAGGTTAGTTTAAAATATATTTCATGAAGGAAGGCTGTTTGCCCCTTGCTGACTTCAGACTTTTGCCTAGAACTTCACTATGTATAGGTGTGGTCAGTTTATCCTAATTTCCAATTTCTTCTGTGATTTTTGTAACTTTTTTTTTTCTCAGTAGTGTGGGCAATCCTTAACCTTTTGGGCTTTTGCGAAGATAGAAATGCCGTGTGCTCTGAGCCTAGTGCCTGGCACAGGGCAGGCATTTTCCTTCCCTGCTGGGTAGTGAGCCCCTGGATTACTGGTAGGGAGGACAGATCTGTTCAGCAGTCTATATAAGGAGCAATGGAAGTCATGACCTCTGAGCCAGCCCTTGAAACAAATTCTAGATGGAATTTACACAGCAGAGAATGCTGTTATCCTGAGATAGAGGATGTCTAATTTAGAGCTCATTCTCCAGGACCTAATTTTGTTAGGTAAACAGAAGTCCTGTACAATAGCCTGCCATGGGACACTTAACATGAGCAAAAACAACTTGGTGTGGATCCCTGCTGAATGTCCTTGGCACCAAGCTTAACTGCTACAAATCCTTACATCTTAAAACTGGAAACAAAGCAAAATAGATTTTCTAAGTCTAGAATAGATCAAATATTTTGCCTGAACTTTTAAGAAAGCAGCATTTTTAAGAAAACCATTTCTGTCTGGTGTTGCTTTAGTTTTAGTGCCTTATTTATCTCACCCCTTGCTTCCTTTAGTGCTTCAGACAACATCCCGAAAGCAGATGAGATCCGGACTCTGATCAAGGATATGTGGGACACTCGCATAGCCAAACTCCGGGTGTCTGCTGACAGCTTTGTGAGACAGCAGGAGGCACATGCCAAGGTAGGTCTGGCTTGCCTAACTCTGGCAGCTGCCTCGCCTGGTCATCAGTGAGTTCTGCCCATGAGGGATTTGGTGCCGCTGAAGAATTTCACATGGTCTCCTGCCTGCTTAGGTTATTGCAAGCGGGGATTACTGGCTTGGGTTTGTTTTTTTTTTAATTCTTTGGTTTCTTATTTTTATTCAGTAGTTTACTTTTTACCCAAAATCAAAAAATCCTTGGCCAACTTGGTCTGTTTTCTTTTGTTTTAGCTGGATAACTTGACCTTGATGGAGATCAACACCAGCGGGGCTTTCCTCACACAAGCACTGAATCACATGTACAAACTCCGCACAAACCTCCAGCCTTCTGAGAGTGCCCAGTCTCAGGACTTCTAGAGAAAGGCCTGTGACTATAAAGATCTGGCGTCTAGTGGCAGGAGACTTGTTGGGTGATGTGAGTGCTCAAGACATGATAGAGGTGACTTACCTCATGGTTCTGGAGTTGTAGAAATCATTTTTTTTTTTTGGTGGCTGGCCTGTATGGAGATCCGAATCCTTGACTTTGGTGTTATAACTGTGTGCTCTAACCAACCGAACCAACCGGACAGCCTACAAACAATTTTGAATGTATGAAAAATGTAGTGGTGCAAGGAATGGATTCATACATTTTTGGAGAAGCACCAAGTTTGTGATTGGTCTTTAAAACTCAGCTCCCTGGAACATTCTCCAGTTCCACATCTCTTTCTAAAGCCAGCTTTCTGGGCCAGCCCGTGGCTCACTTGGGAGAGTGTGGTGCTGATAACACCAAGACTATGGGTTCGGATCCCATATAGGGATGGCCGGTTTGCTCACTTGGAAGAGCGTGGTGCTGACACCACCAAGTCAAGGGTTAGGATCCCCTTACTGGTCATCTTTTTTAAAAAAATAAATAAATAAAGCCAGCTTTCTTCTTTTATGGGGCGAAAAAAGCTTTAGGTGAATAATTTATTCTCCCTAGCAGAGCCTTAGTTTTGCATAAAACCGTCACGCATGGATGAGTGTTCAGTGACCGTTAGATGTAGATACAGTAGGAATGGCGATGTGGCTGAGGGCTTCTTATTCTTGATTCTGATCACTTGGACTAAATTTAGAATTCCTACAGAGATAGCTCACACAGAGGACAGCAGATGGAGTGGCTAGTGATGCTGACCTGTCTCGATCATCTAAGCCTTGGTCCACAATAAAAATGGAATTAACCCAAATCTGTTAGTTTTTTGTCCTGTGTATCTATCAAGTAGGACTTGAGCCCTGAGGCCAAGATAATTCAGTAAACTAAACTGAGAGGTGTGTAGCAATTGACTGGAAACTGCACACCAACACTCTGGGTGTCTACTTCTGGCTAAGGTTTAACAGGTTTCTTACCAAGAGGGAAGTCGGGGAAAAACTGACCCAGTGTATCAAGCACATGTGTGAAGCTTAATGCTAGGAAGAAAAGTCAGGTCCATAACGTTGCTCTTGATGGATTTAGGAGGACTCTGTTGTAGTTAACAGTGGCTCAGGCAAAATTACTTTTTTCCTAAGAGAAAGTTACTTCAATTATTCAATCAGCATTTTGGAATTGTTAGGTCTCTTGTGGAAATTACATTACCTTGAGAGGGGAAATGATTGTTCAGTGTCACTTGTCACACAGTGAGTAGAAGTTTCTGTAAGAAGCCAGTTTTGACTGTAGCACCCTGTGGCTCAAAAGCAGCATGTGCTGTCTGGGGAGCTATGCGAGTGTGTACATGCTAGTGTCTGGTGTCTGCCTTTCAGTGTGCAAGTTACTTGAGCACTACTTGCTCTGCTGCTTTGGTCCAAACTGCTGCCCAGATGTCTCCATCAAGTAGGTGTTGGTTATCATTTGAACACTGGAGGGCCAGATTCGGGAGGACCAGGACCAGAAGATGAGCCCCTGTAGTTCAAGGTGCTGCTCAGAGGATTGGTTCCTGGTGGCAGGACTTGCCTTTTCATCTTGCCCTTTACTCAGAATCCTTCAGGTCTCGTTTGGGTTTCTTTTAGAACAAAGCCACTTTTTACTGTGGGGAGTCAGGGATCCTGTGCATCTCAGATCTTACCTCTACTACCTTCTTAAAACCTTAGGCTGCAGAGGTAGTTTAAATCTGTCTTTACATTTTACCTATGAAGCTATATAGTTGATAAGCTGGTTTTTTTTTTTGGAGGGTTGATGGGTGGGATTTTTATTACAATGTAAAAAAAGATTTTCCTCTTAACATGATTTAGGAAGATTTTATTTTTTTGGATGTTGTCAGAAATTACAGCAATATATTCATAAATACCTAATTACTACATTCAACAAATAATATTACAATACAATTAATTCAAACAAGTACACTTAGAACAGGTTTAATTTCACAGCATCTAAATTGCCCCCAGAGTGACTGAGGCACTGTTGTTCCTCCCTTCCACCCACGGATGGGTTTACTGTTCTAGCAGTTAAGCACAGGGTACAAACAAAGTAACACAACCAGTTAGCATGGTCTTCCTCAGGTCAAGGCAGAGTTATGGAGTTTTTTAAAGTTGATGAACACCTGATCAAAAAGTTGGGGACAGGCTACTGCAAGTGGTAAAGTCAACACCTTGGTTACTTGACAACAATATCAAAGTTATTAATCTGACAGAAAAGACAATTATCCTTTTAGCCTAAATTTACTATTTGTAAAATTAGATCAATCACCACCTCACACCCATTAGGATGGCTACTATCAAAAAAAACGGAAAATAGAAAGTGTTGGCCAGGATGTGGAGAAATTGGAACCCTTCTGTGATGGTAGGAGGAATATAAAATATGGAGATTTCTCAAAAAATTAAAAATAGAATTACCATTTGATCAAATAATTCCACTTCTGGGTATATGTCCATAAGTATTGAAAGCAGGGTCCTGATGAGATATTTGTATACCCATGTTTATAGCAATGTTATTCACAAAGCTAAAATATGAAAGCAACCCAAGTATCTATTGACGGATGAATGGATAAGCAAAATGTGGTATACACGTATGATGGAGTATTACTCAGCCTTAAAAATGAAGTAAATTCTGAATGCAGGAACATGGATGAAAATTGAGGCCATAATGCTAAGCGAAAGAAGCCAGGCACAAGAGGACAAATGATTCCACTTATATGAGATGCGTAGAGTAGTCAAAGTCATAGAGACAGAAAGTGAGGATATTGGTTGCTAGGCACTGGAGGGGAAATGGGAATTATTGTTTAATGGATACAGAATTGCAATTTTATAAGATGGAAAGAATTGGGCCGGCCCGGTGGCGCACTGCTACAGTGCGCCGCTTGCGAGTGCGGCGGCGCTCCCGCCTAGGGTTCGGATCCCACATACAGACCGGCCGCTCACTGGCTGAGCGAGGTGCGGGGGCAACACCGAGGGTTGCAATCCCGTTGCCGGCTGAAGTCAAGATGAGTTGTGTTTTTTTCCTGGAGCCTGGAATCCTTTGCTTCATGCATGGCACATTCTCATTTTTTTTTTTTAAGCTTCAAACCTCCCAGTGAAAAATATTAAATATTCAAGGTAATAAAATANTTTTTTGGATGTTGTCAGAAATTACAGCAATATATTCATAAATACCTAATTACTACATTCAACAAATAATATTACAATACAATTAATTCAAACAAGTACACTTAGAACAGGTTTAATTTCACAGCATCTAAATTGCCCCCAGAGTGACTGAGGCACTGTTGTTCCTCCCTTCCACCCACGGATGGGTTTACTGTTCTAGCAGTTAAGCACAGGGTACAAACAAAGTAACACAACCAGTTAGCATGGTCTTCCTCAGGTCAAGGCAGAGTTACGGAGTTTAAGTTAAGCACTGACTCAAAAAGTTGGGGACAGGCTACAGCAAGTAGTAAAGAGCTTGGTTACTTGGGTAGAGTATAGAGGTTGTTGCTAAGTGGCTAATATACACTTTAGAGTAACAGAATGTGTGCTGACCATCTCCACCTTGTGGTGGGTCCTTGGAATTTTCTGGCTTCAAATGGCTCAGAGGGAAAGGGGGCATTTGGTTTGAAATTGAGCTTAATTTTTGAAATCTGGCAGTATTGTGAGCTACTTGAGTACAACACCATTCTGCTCTACAAACTTAAGATTTTCTGTTATAATTCTTTGCTGAATGTGTGGGCTTAATACTCTTAATATTCTTAAGGGTTCAATCTATTAGAATGTTAATGCCAATTAAGTGTTTTATTTTAAGATTAGATCCTATCGTGGTCTCTTTTCTGAGAGTGGAACAGGAGCATATGTCCATTTGGCTCGGATTGTATAACACAAACAAAAAGTTTCTGATTTAATGTGGAACTACAAGATTTAGCGTTGGAAGGTGTCCCTCACAAGTTTAGTGAAGTCTCCTTCAGAGGAGAGATGGCACCATCAATTGAGGTAATGCAGGAAGACCAGAAGAATGGAGGTCTTCCCGTAAATACCGACTGACACACAGGCTGCATAATCAGTTCTAGAACAAATTTAATGTACTTCTCATCTGTCTTTTAAACTCAATGTGAAATACCTGAACAGAGTTTAAGAGTGCGTATTTGTCAGTTTTTGGTAAGCCCAACTGAAAATACAAGCTACTGTGTTCTTTCAGAATCATCTGAAAATAAGTATCTTCAGATTGTAAGACTGTTAGATGGGAAAACCATTATGGGTGCTTAGTGGTGCCCTCTTGTTTTCAAGAGATACTTTCTTCCTTTTTCTTAGCTGATTCATACTGCCTTACTGGTTTGTAATTGTATTCTGATTGTCTTATTACTTCTCAAGCACAAGAATATTCAGCAATAGAGAAGCTCAAGGGCAGGGTAGAGATGGTGTTTCCACTAGGAGGAGAGAAAGCAGTTGTTACTAGCTCAGCGACACCCCCACAGACCTTTCTCAGTGCACTGCTTGTCCCATGTGCCATGAACTACCCCCAGACAAAAAAGCCAACCAAGGGAGCTCCCCTTGGACGTAGGGACAGGGCTGTGCTTTTTTTTTTTTCATTAAGTTATTAGATCTGCTTTTTCCTTTTACTTCCCCCAAGGCCCATTACCAAAGCTGATTAGCAAAAGCATCCAGACATCTGTGATGCAGGAGGCGGCCTGGGAGTGCTAAGATGTGACTGTTAAGCCTTCAGACCCGAAATAGCAAGCGGATTTTAGGTGGAGAAATTCAGTGATATTTTGTCCTGACTGTTGTCAATGCAGCTCCCTCTACACACCTGTGGAACATGTCTGCAGGGGAGGAGGCCCACAGTACAGCCTTTAGTTTTCTTCCAGTCACTTCTGTGGAGAGGAAGGTGCTTGTTGACTGCTGATAATACTGGTGGCACTTTTTGTCTGTTTGCTAATAACTGGAAGATTCTTGGCAGACGTACAAAGCAAACTGTGTGCAGGCAGATAAAGCGACACAATGCCAGCTGCCAGCAAGCTGTTCTGCACAGCAAGGTCTGGGGTTGAGGGCTGGGCCGCTGAGCACAGTGGTGAGGAGCTGCACAAAGGTCAGCCATCTTGCCCCCAGGCCCTATCTCCTCCCCTGCTCCCGCCCCCAGACCAGCAACATTCTTGGCCTTTGGTTGGGACCCATTCGGGCAAGAAATGCCCCCTGAGCTAGATAACACTGCCTGAATGAGCATTAACTGGACAAGGAGGAAACACTTCCCCCATGGCTTCGTCCTAGTGTGATCAGCCCAGTTTCTGGCCACTCCTGTGCTCATCCCACAGTAAGTTCAAAAGGAGGGGTTCAGCTCAGACATTGTTTATCCTACTTTAGGCTTTTACAAAGCTTTGCATCTAAATAAAGCCTCTAAAGTTTCTACTCTGCACCTGCTTTCAGGCATCTTAGAATTCTATCGCGGAAATCGTTTCCTGAAAGGTTCTTTTTAAAAGCTTCACTTCTGTGTGTACACACAGATGTCACACATAGTCTGGTGGGAACAAGGTGGATCCTAGCAACCGGTCACATTTGCTATTAGCGTGTCCAAATGCTGGGGTGAGAAGTAGCACACAGCTTTCTACGAAAAGTTCTGGTGTAGCTCAGATTAAAATGAAGTGACCGCATAGGCGCCAGTGGTAAGCTCTTTTACTTTTTCTTCTTTAATTTTTAAAAACTTCATTATTTTAATGTCCTGACCAGCAGCAGTACAAACACTAAAAGCAAGGGTTTTTTTGCCCAGAAAACAAAACAAAAACCCCCAAACAGGAAAAACAAACAAAAATCCCCCAAACCACATATTAAAAATGGCAGGCTTTTTATAACAATAATTAAAGTAATAAAAACATACAAAACTTTTTTTTAATATATATATACACAGTACAAGGCTGAAGCACCTTTGACTTTTCTCTCAATTTATGTTTGTATGAAAACACCACCCACTGCAGTAACAATTTGGTAGGTGTGAATATATGTATACATAGAGCTCTGTACATTTCCCCCCAAGGAGTAATAAAAAGGTACCTTCAGTTTGTGGATTCACTTTATCGTTAGGTAAGACCTTTTCCAAAGAAAAGCCTTTGGGGTTGCTTTGTGTGCCCTTAGGACCTGTTGCTTTGAAGAAAATTTTACAGAAACATGAACAAAATAAGCCCTTTACTTCCAATGCACCCAACCTTCTTTTCAGCTGAAGCAAATCTCACTCCTGGGGGGGAACGAGACCAACCCCATCACTGTGGCAAAAGCAAACTTGGTTCTTGAGGCATAGTAACATGGCAACACAAGAGACAATACAACCAGTTTGACCCAATCATATGCACCGGGGGTGATAAACGATAGTTTTAGTGTTGGTAACGGAGCCTTCATTTTCAGATTAAAACATGATGATGTAGGGGAAGAAGGAATAAAATTGCCTTTAAAAAAGAAAGACTACAGGTGTCCTACATTGAAAGGTGACTGAATTGCATTGAAGTCAAGATGAGTTGTGTTTTTTTCCTGGAGCCTGGAATCCTTTGCTTCATGCATGGCACATTCTCTTTTTTTTTTAAGCTTCAAACCTCCCAGTGAAAAATATTAAATATTCAAGGTAATAAAATAGATAATATTTCTATACTATAGGTTCAGCCTAGTTCAAGGGAAACCGTCACCTCGGATATCCCTTAAAGTAACCCCTAGGCCAATGCATTGCAGGCAAGGCAAGGCACTTCCGTAAGTGGTCCAGTTCTGCCTGGAGCCGCTCCCTTTCCGAGACAATCTTCTGTTTCTGGCTTCTTAACTCCTGGGGAGAAGGAAATTTCTGTCAGAACAAGCTCACTTAATCTGGAAGGAAATGTGTGTGAATGTACCAAATGAGCGTGCCAGGTGGGCGAAACCTTTGAAAATAGCCCTTCCCAGCATGGTATTCTGATAGTGGCCTCTGGAGACAGTTTGAGATAGCTTTTCCAGACTCCTGGATTCTAGCAGTGCTTGCTCTTAAAAGAACCAGTGCCCACTGCCACCCTGAGTTCTTGGAACCCCCAGAGACCTGTTCCACATCCTCACCCCTTACAGGGAGCCTGCTGAACTGATTGTACTAGTACAGCTGGAGGACTTTTGAGGCAGGCTGAAGGTGGGGAAGAGGTGGTTGTAGTTGCCTCAAGAGGTCTCCTTTTCCATTAACATCCTGTTCCCCTCCTCAGCAAATCACAGCAGGGGGAGACTGATACTGGCAGTAAGTAATCTCCCAAAAGGGATATATAAACAGCATCTCTACCATTCTAGGATCTTCAAGATTTAACTGAGGAATCACTGATGCCTGTTTTTTTTTTCCCCCCTTAAACCTACAAGTTTTGATCTCTTAAGAGATTTCCCCTCTAAAACTTGTCTTTATGGGTACTCTTCAACCCAAACCGCTGGTTTTTGTTCCTTCCCCACTCACCGCCATGCTGTGGGAGAGCTGCTCTGCAGTCAGACTGAGGCTATAGTGCTGGGCCTCCAGCCGTCTGCACTGTGTCTGTAACACCTGCCGCTCCAGATTTTGCTCTGAAAAGACAAGAGGTAGCACTACGTTTTCTGTGTGTGGAGCTGCCAGGACTGGCACGTGCACCACTCTGCACATCGTCTTCCTGGCCCCACTGCACCCTCCAGTCCCTCCCATGAACCACGATGCTCCCAGCCCCTTGAATTGTACCGACAAGTACATGAATGTTAATAAATTAGCTCCAACCCAATGGAATAGAAACAAAGGATCTAGAATGGAAAGGCAATTTAAGAGATACAGATTAGGGAGAAATTAGGAGTAAATTTATGGGCTTAACGCCTCTCTTCAAAAAAGAAAAGCAAAAGTTAGATTTTTTCATTTTAAGATACTAAGAAAAGGCCAGAGTAAATTTAGAAATTGAAAGTAGAGATTTTATTTTACCAATTAAAAGCTACCAAGCCTAGTTTTTATAAAAGGAGAATGACTTCAAACCTTTAAGGATAAATCCGTACTTTATACAGTGTTCAGAGAATGAAAAACAGAAGGCTACCTGAGTAATTTTATAGAGGCTGGAACAATCTTAATAGCAAAAGAAAGTACAATAAAATTAGATTCTAATACCACTTGAGAACTTGAATTAAAAATCTTAAAAGTTCTAACAAATCAAATTCAAAGATGGAGCAACATCAGAAAAAAAAAGATGAAAAATGAGGTGGTCATCTCAACAGTTATAGAAAATGCACTAACTTTTGACAACTCTACATCATGAACTCATCAGCAAATGGGAACCTCCCTTTAGTGGAGTGCTGCTGAAGTTTCACAGATGAGAGCCCCTCCAGTGCCTCTGCGACAGCACAAGAGGTCCTAGGCCATGCAGCATGACAAGAAAATTAGAAGTATAAAAACTCCAAAGAACCAAACTTATTTGCAGGTCTGGATCATGCATGAAGAGACAAAAAACTAAAACCTAGTAAAACTGCTTATGGAGAAAAACAGAAATTACTTAATATATACTTTTATACCATATTCACAGACAAGGATGCCATTCTCCCCAAATCTGTAAGTTCAATACAACAGATATTCCTAACAGGATTATTTTTGTGTGGAAGGTAACAAAGCGACCCTAAAATTCACAGGGGAAAGCCAAGAACTGCTGAGCAATAGCTCAGAGAATAACAAGCCAGCTGAATTCATCCAGATGTGGAGAGGTGCACAGCCACAGCCCAACAGGGTGGGGATGGACCAAGAGATGGTGGACAGAGCAGGACCAAGCACCTGTGAGGACGCTGCACAACAGGCATGCCCCATAGGACAGGAAGGGCCACAACCTAACTACCAGGACAACTGGTTATGAGTGGGAAAGATGCAGTAAGGTTTCTACCCTACTCCATACACTCAAATGAATTCTAGGCATAATAAGAAAGGCAGAACTTAAAGACTTTCAGAAGAAAATACATAAAAGTGTCCTTTAACCTAGGGGTGGGGAAGGAATTCTAAACAAGGCACTAGAAAAACTCACAAACCCAGAAGAGAGTGATACATTTTACTCCATTAAAATAAACAAATGCTTCATATTGCTTTTGGATACATACATATGCATTTAAAGAACAACATGTAAGGGAGTGTTGGGCAATAAATTCAAAATAAGTATTCTGTCAGGAGGAGAAAGGAATTAAAATATAGTTTTTGACACCCTAGTTGTGGCTATGTGGGCATTTGTTAGTCTTTACTTTTCTGTGTTTTGAAAAATATTTTGGGGGGCAGCTGGCTGGTACCAGGATCTGAACCTTTGGCCTTGGGGTTACAACACTTAAACCAACTGAGCCAACTGGCCAGGCTTAAAACTACTTTTCATTTCAAAGTTGTATTTGAAATGACTGAAATTCGTAATAAGTCTTTAATAATACTTCAAGCATAATAATACACGATAAAAATGCATATTGTTCTATAAAATGGTAATAAACTGTAGGAGGCAGCAGCGGCCTGGGGTTTGCTAGCCAGGACAAGCGCTTCCCAGCTCTTGTCAAAGTGAATGCCAGGCACCCCCACTGCTCCCCTATGGGGCCTTTGTGGACATCTTGAGGAAACCAAGGCAGAGGTGGGAGATGATGTGCTGTGAGTAGGACAACAGTGCCAGAACTCAAGTGGCACCAGCCTCATGACCCCACTCACTGGCAGAGGACACGTGTCCTTGAGTCTGCCCAGTGCCATGGCTTCCCCAGGGGACTGGAGCATGGTACTCAGCTGAGAGTGCTGGGTTTGGCCAGGGGAGGTAAGCTTTTGACACTTTCCTAAGGGCTTGCCACCTTCGGAAAAGTGCTCAGCCAGAGGTGAACCTCAGAGTAAAGTCAGCTAAAAACATGAGTGGCACCCACTGACCACTGAACAATCCCTGCAGCATGGGGATCTGGCCTTGCCCTCCGAGCTCACCTAAGTCAACAAACTAGAGTGTTTTCCAGGACCCTCAATCGAAGCCAAGGCAAGC